CGTTATTTATCTGTTTTATGGCTCATTACTCAAACATTTTTGTATGCTTGTCAAAAACACAGAAACGTTGGAGTTCTGTCTGTACTCCCAGTTCAAAGCCATTTGTTACATTACATAACTTCTAATGAGCAACACGATGTCTTTCTTTTAGTAACACATTCAAGTATCAGCACAGAGCTGACAGCAAAGTTTCAACTAAACAGCCCACAGAAAAATGACGTGGCTACATTGATGTTGCTGGGTGGGAGGAGCTTCACTGTCACAATCTTAAAAGACTGTGTATATCATTGCTCTAATTTTTATTTTATTTTGCCTCCCACATGAACTGAGACCAGGCAATTGTGCATAAAAAGACGTGCTGGAAAATGTTGTATTTATTCTTTATTTGCTATGCATCCGTCTGATTAGCAACTGCGATCACTAAATATTCCAGATATATTGCTTCCATACACCAGTACATGCCACACTGAAAGCTGCTGAGTCAGCTGGGCGGTCGATGACAGCAAAGCTACGTCAGTCATATAACTGATGAAGCCCGTTAGGCTGAGGCAGCTAATTCGTTCAGGTTGTCAAAGCTTTCATTTCTTCCTTCACTGGTTTCGATGAGCTCACATTCAGTTAAAGAAGTGAACTTTAACTCTAGAGGGCGATGCTTTTTAACATGACATGGCTTGAAAAGTCAGTAAGAAAACACATAAGAATTGATTTAAGAAAATGAAGAAATGCAGAAGCACACATAAACGGATTTATATGCAACAACATGTTTGTGGAACACCAAACAATAAAGTAACTGAGTGTTAACCACATCTGCCGAACAATGACATTAGTCAGTGTGTGTCAAAGGCTAGACTTACACCAGCAGCATTAACAATAACGGTTTTCAATGCAAAAATAAATATTTGCACCAATGCATGCTTTCTAAAGAAAACAAGGACCAGCTCTTACCTTTGTCTGATGAATAAGAACTGGTTTTAAAAGCCAGTCAGTCAATCTTGTGATTCACTGATAGTGTGAGATCTGGCTGAGAGCGGGGAGTGCCGGCTTACAGAGGGTGGAGCTAGAGCAGAGGGAATAAGCTTAATCTTCACAGTCGTCATAATCACTGTCACCATAATGTTGTGTTGTTTAATATGATTAGGTGCGATATCTGTCTCAGTGTTATGGACTGAGGAGGCCGAAGTGGACACAGCATTTTTACTTGCTTTACTTATGGAAAACAAAACAAGTTAAAGTAGTCGTCTGTTGCTTTGGTTACTTTTGAGAAAAAGAAAAAAAAAGAGTGAAATATGGTCCTTATCTAGCCAATGAGTTTATTTCTTCAGTTTACTTTTTATGGTTTGTTTTGGACATCGCAGTTTAACTGTGGCAGTGTGTGCTCTGTTTTATCGTAGTATCTACAAGCCTGCAACACAAAATGTTAAAATAGAAACTTTTTATAATACAAAGAAAACCTCAGCAATCAGACAACAATCAGACAACAATCAGACAACAATCAGACAACAATCAGACAACAATCAGACAACCCCCTTTGAGTAAGCACTTGGCAAGAGCGGAAAGGAAAAACTCCTTTTCAACAGGAAGAAACCTCCGGAACCGGGCTCAGGGAGGG